AAATAATTTTATAAGGAGTACGGTCTAGACCTGCTCTATTTGAATAGTGTCCTAAGAAAATTGATTTGGTTATGATTTGGTGCTATACAAACAAAATTAAATTGAATTTGAACAAATGTTTTCAGTTTGCCTAAAAATGTAAATCATGTTAGGGTGGAAACAACCTTGAGGTGTTCACATCTGAAGATACCACCCAAAATCTGTCCTAATTAAATACTTTATTCAAGAGATATGGCGGAGTTTTATTTATGGCCACAAGGTGGAGCTATTGTTGGTAGAATTGTATGAAATATTACATGTGGCTTTATGTACAATATCCCCGAATTTGGTTGAAATCCAGTTCAGCATTGAAGAGTTGTGCATCAGGGCCGTGCTTTCAAAAGGCTTATAACGAATTATATAATTTATAAGAGGTGATAAAGCTATATAGTGTATTAGTTAGTGTTTATATATATATATGTAAACACTAAACTATAAGTCTTGTTTGGCTTCATCTAAATATATTATGCACCAATTTTGGTGAAGATGTCAAAAGAGGCAAAAAATGACTTTACCAAACAAAATCCAAAATGGTGGACCTAGATTTTTGTAAAATAGAATAAAATAAAGCACAATAAATCAGTGGGGCTTTTCCTTATCATGCTCACTATGGTCGTAATTACAGGGTTGAAGCTGTCAGTGTACAAAGTGATATTCAACATTTAATGAAATATCAGTTTGCTGATGTTTTGGTTGAAACCCAGAAACAGTAAATCCTTCAGAGATCAGCGGTCCATTAGGAGCGATGCAGATGTTCTCTAATGGACCAGAAACTGGCTTTGATGAGTGAATCATTATTATTCTTTATTACCTGCAGCTCACTTAATGTGGACACACAGACACAGACAGACAGGAAATAAGTGACAGGTGGATACTTACAGGTACCACGTATGCTTCTGGATCTGCTCTAACTGTAAGAGAAATCAGAGGACATAAACATTAATTCATAAGTGAAACAAACAAGATGCTTGTATTGAAATATATTTACACCAAAATGAGTTTTATTTTGTTTCTGTCCACTTTGAATGATGCTATGTTACAATGATATGCAAGTTAAAATGACTGTTTTTGTCTATGGAGTCTGGTGGGGAGCCACAAGGATTATCTGACATTGTGGTCACTGCAGCTCTATCTGCAAATATTTCACAACTCTTTGAATTAAGGGATTGTCTGAGATGTTAGAGCGACATATAGTCGTGTATTTCATTGTATATAACCTTTAACTTACCCTCCTGACAAGCTGCTATGACTGAGCTAAAACATTCATTATAAGACGAGCAGATGCTGCAGCTGTTATTCCAAAGCTTAAATAACTGCAGACAAAACACAAGTGAAAGCACATTATCTAAATACACCCTTTTGTTATTTCCGTCTCTATTATAAGCCAAAACAAATCCTTGGCCTGAGATGAAAGGATTGTATGCCGAGCACAGAAGCTGCGGGGCCTTGTCATGGTGCAGTTCTGCTAAATTTATCCTGAGCAGTCCCTCAGGCAGCTGACTGTACGAATGCAAACAGTCCACTGATGGAAGATTTCAGCCCTCTTCTGCCGGCCGGCGAGGGGAAGCGAGGAGCTTACCGTGAGCCTCTTGGTGGCGTCCACTTCGATCATACCGCGCAGGAGGTTCTGACAGTCCGGAGGGATGAAGTGAGGCATGTGGAAAACTCCCAGCTTCACCTTCTCCAAAAGATTCCTCAAGTTGTCATCGTCGAAAGGCAGAGCGCCCTGGAGGAAGAGGAGGGGAGGAAGCACCAGAGCATGATGGTCACTGTTCACCTGGACGGTCACGATTCACCTCACACAAAACCTTTAACTCAAAACTCAAGTTTCTGGTTCTGTTCTTAAAGTTTTTACCCATTTTGAATCCATACTGTATATCTATGCTCTTTGTAGCATGCTAACAATGCTAACTAGGCTGAAACGTTAACATGGTTGTCTGTCAACAAACATGTATGTTTTAATGTTTTAATGTTTCTAATTAGTTACAAACATTAGCATGTTTGAAACATGTCACTTTTTGGCCTAGTTAGAAAACAAACGTGCGAACATTTGTAACGTTAGCACGTTTTTGGACAGAATAAATTGGTGAAACTGAGATTAGTCAATTTTGTCCTGAAAATCTGTGTCGGGGGGGTCAAAACTAAATATTAATATGATATAATATTAATATAATTATCCACTGGAGACTGTGAATATGTTTTTTTTGTCACATTTGCAGAAATGAGTCTCTGTAGTTGTGAGATCTCAAACCTCAACATCTAAAACCCAACAGAGGCATCAACCTTCATCAGACCACACGACACACTGACATCCTCCTGTTGTCCTGTAAATGGACGTCAGGTGTTCACTGAGATCTGGATTTTGACAAAGAGGAGCAGTTTGTGAGATATCAGTCATCAGAGTCGGTGATGATGAAGCAGTTCTGTGTCGCAGCCAGCCGGCCGGCTCTGCTCTCCAGCTGGGGAGCAGAGCCGGCTCAGAGCGCTCAGTGACGTGATGACTGATACCGTTTCCTCCTCGTTGAGAGCCAGATGGCCGCTGACACTGCGTGGGTAATCAAAACAACACGGGTGGAGAGATTTATCTTCACACGATGACTGCTTTGTGTGCTCCGTCTTAATCAAGAGACGAACATGCGTGTGCACGTAGTTCATTTAGTTGCTCCTCACTTGTCACTGTCGCATTATAATGCTGCTGACGTTTAGAGCCTGGAGCACTTTTATCTGTTATCTTTTATCAGCTGGTATCATGTTTGTCTGAGTTTACTTTTATCAAAAGGAATTCCTTGTCTTTACTTAAAAAAAGCAACCAGGCAAAACAGGCAGAGGTCACACAGCTGGCAGAGGTCAGATGGCGCCACAAATTCCTCCTTGTGATGTTTTTCTAACGTTTTTAATACAAAATTTTGTTTGTGTTTTACGGCTGATGGAAGTTTCATCTTAGAGTGAATTCAGTCATTCATAGTCGTATTAATCGTTAGACGCTGAAAAGAGTCGAAATTCCAACGGGTACGTCTTTATATCTTTATACCACAGAGCGTCTTCAGAGCGTATTCCTGCCCGACGTTATTTATTTATTTATTTTGTCCTTAAAAAGTAAAATCTGAGACAAAATGTTGATGTAGTGTAAAATCTGGAGTCTGCAAGCAGTATTTTATTTTGAAAATTAGTCAAACTCCATTCAGGTATCAGAGGATTGTTGCAACACGGACCTTTTCTCTTGTAACACAGAAAGTGTGCTAATTGTGCTAGCTGCTATTAGCTAGTGAGCGGTCCTATCAGATGGTCTGTACCCGGACTGGGAGCAGTAAGGACAATGGTAGTCCAGGGGGACCCAGTGGGGAATACTGCCGGTGAGCAGGGCCCGAATGAGCCACAGAACCGGAGCAGGTGCAGGCCACTGTTCAGATATATATATATCTATTTAAGTAATTAAATTAATATCGTAAACGTACAACGACTAGTCGACTTGTAGATTCTTCGGGGCAGCGGTACTGATTCAGACTTTCTACAGTTTTGGGAACATTTAGTCATTAAATAAAGACAAGTTAGTTTCTGTCGGGGCCGGGCTCATTTAATTTATAATGTGCCTTTAATCTTTTATTGGTACACAATGTGTTTGCAGTATCTCATCTTTAATTTAACCCCGGCTGCTGTAAAGAACACCGGCTGCTGCTGACAAGCAGACGTACAGATGTTAGATGGACTTTATGGAGTGACCTTCAGTATTAACAGCACTCATAGTTCCCGTCATAAAGTGTGTTTGGATGTTAACCTTTAATTCCCAGGACAGGCGCTGTTGTCAGGTAGTTTATTTTGTGCTGAAACATTTCAGCGACCTTTCTGTTCACCTTGGATATTCTGCTGGGAACAAATAAAGAGTTCATTCAGCATAAATATCAGGAACAAACTCTGCAGCACAAACCAGTGAACAGGTGTGTCTGTCCTAACTCATATCATGAATTATAAACAGAGTAAAAGAGAAACCAGTCCAGTGAAAAGAAGTCCTAAATATTACTTTCATTTCAGAATCCTTAAGATATAAACTGTAGGTGACATTTTAACCTTCTAAGTAAGCTAAAGAATTTAGCCTGATAGCTAACTTAGATACTCATTTAATTACCTTTTTGGCAACCTTTAGTGATGGTTCATATATTAAAATAGGCAACGCCTGCTTTGTTTTCTGGTAATACTTTATCACCAGGTCCCAGTATTTAATCAAGTTTGCCCAAATAAAACTCATCTTGTAGGTTTTTGTCCAGTTTTTTTCCACATATGATCATTCTGATCCAGATAGCACAAGATTAGGATCACAGAATCTAGATCTGCAGTTTTCTGATAGGCCTCCATCTGTCGTTTGTATTTTATATTATATCTACAAATTCTAACCAGTTCATCCTTGAGTCCAAGTGGATGTAAATTCCTTCCAGGCGTTTCTGAGGTATGGAGCTTAGGAGGATTAATCAGAGGAACAGACAACCCGAAAACCAAATCCTGGAGCTCCACAGACGGTGAATAATGAACTTCTATGAGACAGTAAATCCTCGTTAGCACCACCTGGTGGTACGAACGTTAGCGCTCTGGTGTTTCTGTGTAAAAAAACCTTTTAAAAAGTCAGTTTTCGAGGCTGCTGTCACTCACCACTAAAAGTGCAAACAGGATGACTCCACAGCTCCACGCGTCTGCTTTCCTGCCGTCGTACTTCTCCCCCTGTTACAGACACACAAACACAGACGCTCACATCATAAACTCCAGTTTCCCAAATCTCCTCCGACTGCAACGAGCCATGGCGCCTCACTTAATGGACAAATCTACCCATATATGGATGTTCCTTCCATGTAACATCAGCAATTTGAGATGCCGACTGCACTGCGGGAGTTATTTTAGGATGTTTGAATTTTCTTTTTCTGGTCTCCCTCGTCTGACTGTGTGTCAGTTATCATTTCCTGTGTTTCCCACAGAGATACAGGATGTCAAGGTGCTGAAATTAAAGTCCAAGTGAAAAGAAAAATGTCATTTTAACCCTTTAAGATAAAATCTTCAGTTATATTGTTCCACTATTTACCGAAAATATTCACTAAAAACTCAATTTCTTTGCATTTTTATATCATAATCCAAAAAGTGACGCGTGTTTACGTCAGTATGAACTAACTGATTTCAACCAAT